GGCTCCGTCTCGCCACACTGGGGTCACTGTAAAACCTTTGCCCAGAGTGAAATCGCCAGGTCGTCCTCAGCTTGGGAGGGAAAGAAGTTAGTTTTAGGCTCAATGAGGAAAAACCCTGCCGTCCACCCCAGAGTCACCCGCCAAGCAGTTTGGCTTGAAGGCAGACTATGCGAGTCAGTCTTTCCTTCCCTCATTTGGTCGAGAGATTTACAGAAACCCAAGGCAGATCCAGTAGTCCACTCGATTTTGGTGGCTTACACCCAGGTAAATACCCATCCCAAAAGGCAGTGCTGTCCTCCACTGAGCAGGCTGTGGGATGATGCCTGGGTGGTTTCTGGCAACCCATTGAACCAGAAGTTACAAAGAGATTTGTTTAGTCACCCTGGGTCCACTCTGACCAGCAGGATCTTCATTCAGACCTTGACAGTGAAGCATACATACCTATGCCCTCTCTGAGTTTTCATTTTATAAACGACGTGGCTCCGTTGATTCCTGCCACATACTGTCAGCACCACCTCCCTGTGACTGCCACTGAGCTGTGAATGTGTCCCTCTAGCTGCTTCCCCCACAGCCACACGGTGCTGTTCTTAGATAACTGAGATGCTATGTCGTCACCACCCCTGTCCCCATTCATGATGAGCAGCCATTTTGTGGAGCACGAGGGCCTGGGGAGTCATTTCTCAGATGTTTCTACAAAGCCACAGTTGTTAAGTCTTTCCAGCTCACAGACCCTTCGAGAATTGGGTGGAGACTGTAGACCAGGGGTTGGCAAACTGCGGCCTGAGGACCAGATCCAGACCGCCACCGCCAAGGTTTTATTGGGGCTCAGCCAGGCTCCTTCGTTTACGTATTGTCTGTGGCTGATCTTGCGCTGAAACAGCAGAGTTGAGGAGTCACAATAGAGACTGATGGCTCTGAAAGCTCGAATACTTACTGTCTGGCTCTTCAGCTAATTTTTCTGTGAAGAGCCAGATAGTAAGTATTTAGGCTTTAAGGGCCATACGGTACCCTGCCGTACACCTTGCCCCAGCACAGCGTTTGGGCTGTGACCTCATGGGATGGCAGGAGCCCTGATTAGGGACATCCCCTCCCTCTTCCTGCTCTAAATGTTTCTCCTGGAGCAAACGCAGCGGCCCCATAGCAGGCCCTGGTACAGCTCTGGGCTCCACCCTCTGTCTCAGAAGCCTCCTCCCCTGCTGGTCACCAGCACATCTTCCCACTCGTTGCCAGGACAGGGTCCCCTTGTCTCCAGTTCCCAGAGCAGGACGCCCGGGACAGGCAGGTGGGGAGCTTGGATAACAAGTATTGGGGGCGGGTGATGGCTGAGCCCCCCAGGCTGCTGCCTTGCCCGTGGGGCTGTAGCTTCTTCCAGGTCGGCTTCTGGGAGGAGGATGGGAGGCAGCAGGCAGTACCCGGCCTTTCTCTGCCTCCTCCTCCAGAAGGCCGTGAGCTGCGTGGGTCACTTGTGTGGACCTGCCCCTGGTTGGCCGTCACCTCCCCCGTAACCTGGGAGAGCCTGGGTGCAGGGCTGCGTTAGTCCTGGCCGTGTTTGGGCCTGATGAATACCTCCTGGGGCTGTTGGGGTCTCTGCCCTGCCAGGCCCACCCCAGCATCGCATCAGCCTTGGGACAGGGTCATCCGGGGGAGGGAGAAGATGGGATTTGCCATGATCCCTTGTAGAAAAGGTCTCATTTGTCTCCTCTGCATTGGAACCCAGACCTTGATTGCTGGGTCTGGGGCGGCGGGGTGGGGAGCACTGGCTGGCGGCCACCTGCTGAGTGCCCCTGGCCGCGTCGCGCCCTCCAGCCTCTCTGAACTCAAGGCCCCTCCTTGCAGCCATCTGCCTACCCAACCAGTTCCGCTGCGCCAGTGGCCAGTGCGTCCTCATCAAGCAGCAGTGTGACTCCTTTCCTGACTGCATCGACGGCTCCGACGAGCTCATGTGCGGTGAGCCAGCTTCCCACCGATGGGGGGGCCGCTGTGCTGGGGTCCTGCCTCAGGACTGTGGGGTCGAGAGGGAGGAAATGGCTGGGGGCCGTGTTCGGGACTGAGGAGGCTGGGAGGTCGGGAGTGTTTGGCCTAGTGGGGAGGCAAGGAGGCCTTCCTAGAGGTGGAGGCGACTGTGGGCTGAGCTGGGACGGGGAGAAGGGGACTGTGAGCTGTGGGGCATTCCGGCTGGGACAGAGGCACAGAAGCAGGCCCCTTTGGAGAAGGCATTGGTGGGTGGGGCTGGCTGTGCCAGGCCAGGGCTGAGTGAAACATCATGCTTCTGCCCAGAGACCTTACCCAGCAGCAAGATTACCCCTGATGGGGTGAGGGTGGGAGGCGTTCCCTGGCAGCCTGCTGTCTGGCTGAGGAGGTGCAATGCGTACTTGCACACACACACATGTGCTGCATGCCCCTCAAGTGACACGGCCTGTACAGTCAAGGATACAGGGGCCAGAGGATGTGGGGCCAGGGCAGTCAGGGAAGGCTTCCTGGAGGCGGTGGCTCTTGAAAGGCTGTCTTTGATTCAGATGAGAAGGGGGCAGGAGTCCCAGACAGGAAGTGGCAATGTGTCCATGTGTCTGGGGATATGCCACTTTGTTTACTGCAGGGGGACCTGGGCAGAGAGCTCATACTGCAGGAGAGGGGGTCCGAGTCTCGCTCCTCTGCTGGGCAGGTGTCCAATCCGACAGTGTCTGTCTTCAGCCTGCAGCATGACTGAGGCCCCAGTAGTCGAGGCGGGTATTCATCCTTGTCCCCGGAGCCAGCCGCTTTCCTCCGTTTGGGTTTGTGGCCGGCAGGAGGGGCTGTAGTAGATTGCCCTCAGAATTGTGGGGCCAAGCTGATGGGAAAGTGAATGTCCTTTTGTCAAAGTTGAGAGCCCAGACACGCCCTCCATGCCCTGAGTGGCCTTGATAGTGGAGCGAGCCTGAGGAGCGCCCCCACCTGGCAGCCCCACGCACAGGTGCCCAGAAGGACCCCTGGGGGCACCTTTGCAGCCCTGAGCGGGCTCCTGGCTTTGCGGGTTTGGTTGAGCCCCAAGTCCAGGCCCTGTCACGCTCCACCCCGCATGATGCCCCCACTTTGGCCTTTCAGGATTCTCGCCTCTGTGGCAGGCGGGCGTGCGGGACTCTGGGAGCCCTGCTGGTGACAGCCCGGGCCCTGGGGCACCCGTCAGCCCAGCCCCTACGCGGGGGCGGAGTCCACTGCTAGACAGGCTGGGAGACCCCGGGGCCCCGCCTACCTGCCCCACACCTGCGGGCTGGTGCTCAGCTCCTCTAACCAGCTGGGGGGGCCTCCTGGGCTGGCTCTGTTAGGGAGACAGCACATGGGGGCATCCGGCGCACGTGCTTCCAGCTGAGAATACAGGCTGCTGTGGAGGGGTCGCTGTTGAGGGGCCGCGGTGGGGAGGTGGGTAGAGCTTAGCTAGGAGGAGAGGGCGAGGGGGAGGGCGCTCCGGGCAGGCCGAGGGGCAACCAGTCGGTGGTGCCGCTCCAGCCCCAGCATCTCCCTCCTCCCCGCCCTCCGTGAGGTCAGCGGGTGCTGGGCCTGGGCAGCACCAGCTCCTCCGGGACACACTGTTCCTTTGCGGTCGGTTAACGGCGGCCTCTCCTCCCCCGTCCTCTGGCAGAGATCACCAAGCCTCCCTCGGACGACGGCCCCGCCCACAGCAGCGCCATCGGGCCTGTCATCGGCATCATCCTCTCCCTCTTTGTCATGGGCGGGGTCTACTTCGTCTGCCAGCGTGTGGTGTGTCAGCGCTACGCAGGGGCCGGAGGGCCCTTCCCGCATGAGTACGTCAGCGGGACCCCCCACGTGCCCCTCAACTTCATAGCCCCGGGCGGCTCCCAGCATGGTCCCTTCACAGGTAAGGAGCCGGGACGTGCAAGGGCCCTGGGCAGGATGTGGGAGAGAGGACTGGGGATGCTGCTACCACGACCCGTCTTGTGCACATGGAAGACATCACTAATCCGTCACGGCGTTCAGGCTTTCTTGAGCCTGTGCTTGGCATCAGAATCCTTCTCAACACAGAGTCCTGCACAGCCAGGACTCATCCTGTGGCCTTGGAGGAGTGGGGTCAACTCTTTGGACTTGACCTTCCATATTCTTGTGGGTGTGTCATGAGTTGTCCGTGGCGGGCAGCTGGGCAGGACACACCTCAGACAGGACTTACCCACCTGAACCCGGGTCTCGTGGGCAGCAGGAGCTGAGGAGGGCCTGCCGTGTGTGGGGCGCCCCGGCCCTGACCCTCCTTGTCCCCTCGCGCAGGCATCTCGTGCGGCAAGTCTATGATGGGCTCCGTGAGCCTGATGGGGGGCCGGGGCGGGGTGCCCCTCTACGACCGGAACCACGTCACCGGAGCCTCGTCCAGCAGCTCATCCAGCACCAAGGCCACGCTGTACCCGCCGGTGAGTGGGGGCGAGAGGAGGCCTGGCCAGCCAGGGGTCACCCACCACCAGTGGCTGACTTGGGGGGGACACTTCTTGTGACCTCAGGATTTCTAGAACTGTTAGCTGTCCCACCATCTCAGAGAATGGGGGGAGCGTTCCCCTTCCTCCTCTCCAGACCCTGTTGTTTTTCTCTTTAATGACGTTTTCTGTTTAGAAAAGGGTGCTCTTTGTTCATTGTGGATAATCTGGAAACCACGTAAAAATCTAAAGAGCGGAAGTCTCGCCCACAGTGCCTCCTCCCAGGGCTGCTGTCGGGCATCTCGGTGTTCAGGTGGCGGTCTCTGTCCCGCAGGGGCCCCCATGGCTGCCTCTGGGGGCCTGTGTGGTGGGGTGCTCAGCGTGTCTGTGTGGGCTTTCCCCCCAGTGTCCTTGTCAGGAACACCCAACTTTCCCAAAAAGGGCCTCTCAGGGTCCCTGAAGATAGCTGGGTTGTTTCCCAAAGGACAGGCACCCACGGGCTGACTTGGTGGCTGAAATGCTCCTCCAGCAGCCCGGGTGGGGTGAGGGGCTGAGCCACCCGCTGGAGGGAAATGATTGTCCAGAGGGGGAGGCCCTGGAGCCCTCAGTGTCTGAGCTCCCCTACAAGTAACCACGGGGACCTTCTCCCCGAAGCGGGCTGGGGAGACCCCCATTCCCAAGAGCGCAGCCCCAGGGGCACCGCAGTGAGCTTGCTGCACGGACGGGACCCAGGGTATATGGAAACATGGGGTCTGGCTTAACGTGGTTCTATGCTTTTTAATTCTTCGAAACCTGATTTCCTGCGATGGTATGCCCCTCTAAGGTGAGGACAGCCTTTGAGCTTTCTCTGGGGTCTGCAACAGGCCCCACCCGCCAGGGCTGGGCCTTCCTGCCCTTCTGGGTGTCCCTCACGTCTGGGGTGCTGCCCCCTCCTTGTTGTACCTGACCCTGGCAGGCCCTGCGAGGGAGGGGGCATCGGAGGTTGTCATCTCCGGTTCACAGACGGGAACTGAGGCTCCTGGAGTCTCTGGGGCCTCACTGTGTTCAGGGACAGAGGAAGCAAAGAGCCAGAAGCCTGGAGTTGACAATACTCACCACCATTCCGCTCGTCCTCCCCGCTGCCGCTGTCTCCTGACTCGAGCATGCCCACGTGACCAGCTGGAAGCACGAGGAACCCGTGGAAGGCTGAGCTTCCTGCAGGACGGCCCCTGGGCCCCCATGCCGACACCAGGAGGCTCAGGAGACTGGCTTCTCCATCCTCAGGCTCTGCTGGGAGCTGGAGGGATCTTAATAGGCAGCAAGAGATAACGCTGACCAGCCAGCTGTTTTTTATATAATTCACATACCATATAATTCACCCACTTAAAGTGTACAATTCGGTGGCTTTTAGTATATTCACAGATATGTGCAACCGTCACCATGGTTAATTTTAGAACATTTTCAACAGCCCAAAAGGAAACTCCTCGGGGAGCCAGCTGTTTTTAAGTTAGCTACGTTATTTTGCATCAGTAATCTATGCTCGTGGTACAAAATTCAAAAGGTACAATGGAATGTGCAATGAAGAGAGGGGCCCCCACCCTGAGCAGGAGCCCCCCTGGAGGCACTTCCTGGGGTTAGTTTCTTGTGTTCTTGTGTTCTCCCAGGGGTGTTGGTGCATAAGCAAGTATACGAGAGTATGGACTTAATTTTTCCAGCAAAGAGTAATTTTTTCACATTTTACTTTGAGATAATTGTAGATTCCCATGCAGCTGTAAGAAATAATACAGAGAGATCCCAGCTACCCTTCACCGGTTCTCCCCAGTGGTAACATCTCACATGACTAGAGTTGTCTTCATCCATTTGTGTTGCTCTAACAAAAATATCATAGATGGGGTGGCTTACACAGCAAACTATTTTTTCACGGTTTTGGAGGCTGGGAAGTCCAGGATCAAGGCACTGGCAGATCTGGTGTCTGGTGGGACCCAGTTCCTGGTTCATAGACGGCTGTCTTAGCCTCACATGGCAGAGGGGCGAGGGAGCTCTCTGGGGTCTCTTCTTATAAGGGCACTGGTCCCATCATGGGGGCTCCACCCTCACGACCTAACCACCTCCCAAAGGCCCCACCTCCTAACCCACCCCACTGGGATTAGGTTTCAACATATGAATTTTGGAGGAATGAACATGCAGTCTATAGCAATGTTACTATATCATAATTAGGACATTGATGTGATATTCTTTGGCTTGTTCAGATTTCACCAGTTTTACATGTGTAATTTTTTTTTTTTTTGGTTTTTTTTGGTGAGGAAGATCAGCCCTGAGGTAACATCCATGCCAATCCTCCTCTTTTTGCTGAGGAA